GTGCCCTCACTCCCCTCAAGCACTCTTGAAAAATGATGCTAGTATGAAGGGTTCTTCATCCCTGTATAGTGGTAGCTCTTGTTCTAAACCATCTCTTAGGAATCACATACATTCTGTTCTGTTCTGTTCAAGTTCTTATACCATGCCTACCATCAAAGTATCTGAATACTTTCCAATAGTTTAAGTCAACTGTGTATGCTCTCTTAGCACATGTATGTGTCTTTTTTTGTCTCCTATGTGTATGCTGTTTCATCTACCCCCTTGGAGAAAACTGTGGTCCATGGACCCATAAACAGTTTTGTTTTGTAATATATACATATATATACACATATTATATGTACATATGCGTGTATGTATTGCCTCTGGACCACACACACACACAAATGTATAGGAATATATATATTCCTATACATACACACACACACACAATATGTATGTATGTATGCATGCATTTACATATTGCCTCTAGACTACGCACACACATACATATATGTATATATTCCAAAAACAAAACAATTTATGGATCCATGGAGCACACTTTTCTCCAAGGGGGTAGATGAAACAGCACATACTTGGGAGATCAGAAAAGACACGTTTTGAATCAGTGTTTCATTCTGAAATTAAATACTTTTTTATATTCCAATACACACACACACGTGTGTGTGTGTGTGTATGTAGTCCAGAGGCAATACATATATAAATGCAGACATACATACAGAGACAGACAAGGTTCTTTGGGTAAATCTGATATGTTATATTAGACCAACTAAATAGTTGGAAAAAAATTTCTTAGCAAGCTTTCATACATAGATACATACACATATATATACATACATACATGCGTGTGCATGTGCACATATATACGTGTGTGTGTGTGTGTGTGTGTGTGTGTGTGTATTGCCTCCGGAGTACACACACACATATGTTACAGAAGGCAGGGTCAAAAAAACCCTGCCTCTTCAGTATGCATGTATTTCCTTGGCCCTGTCTTCTGTAACATAGACATATTACAATATATACTGATGTTTATGCTATACACTTACGTTAGAAAAGGCAAGTACAAATAAAAACACTATACCTTTAGAATGGAATTGTTGATATTTCTGGTGCTATTTTGTTCTTAGTTCACACTCACACATACGTGCACCACACACAACTATTCCAAAACATTTTCTGGACTAAGACAATTTGTTTCATTTTTATTAGTCCGTGGCCTCCTGTTTTCCCTAATTAAACTGATTATTATTGTGACATAGCTCATTGTGACAGAGCACTTGTACACTTGATGGGAGTTTAGTCCCCTAAAATGAAACCGTGGGTTTCTAATTAAGATGATTAAAAACCCACCATTTCAATTTAGGGGCTTCCATCATTGTTACAGTGAGGGGCCCGATCCTTTTCTTTGTTTTTCATGGAGCCTGCCCACCTCTCCCATGGCCAGCGGCTAAGGTACTGGTGGTCCAAGTAAGCCCCTGAGCTGCAGGGGCCCTGTTCCTTCCCTCTGAAGCAGCAGTGCCCCTCGGGACTGCCCAGGCAGGGTCTTAATGGGCTGCCCCAGTGTGGAGGAACTTGATCCAATGCTTCCCTGAGCTCACCTGGGCTTCCAGAGCACTGTGCACTGTCCCCACTGCCTTCTCCGGCCACCAGCACACCCATCTACACTCCTGCTGCCTTTCCATGCTGCTCCAGGGGCAAGCCAGCCCATTCTCGGGTGGTCCCAGGTGGCGGGAAGGTGGCAGAAACAGTGCATAGTGTGCTGCTTCCCAGGCAGGTCTGGGAAAGCGTTGGATATGGTGGGTGCTGTCTCTGAGCTGGGGCAGCATCCAGTCCACTAGCAGCCTGCCTGGGTGGCCCTGGTGAGTGCCACTGCCATGGAGGGAAGGACCAGAGCCCCCCCACAGCTCAGGGCCCACTGGCAGCTCACCCCCCAGCCGCAGGCAGGCTCTGTGAAAAAAAAAGGATCAGGCCAAGCCTCCCTTCATGAGCTGCCAGTGATCTGAGCAGTCCTTGAGCTGCAGAAGGCCCTCTTCCTTACCTCCATAGGGCTGGCCCATGAGGCCAGCTGGGTGAGCTGCTAGCAGGCCAGATGCTGTCCCAGCTTGGAGGCAGCTCTCGCTGGATCCAACCCTTCCCCAAGACTGCCTGGGGAGCAACACCCTGCTCACTGTCCCCGCTGCCTTTCTGCCACCAAGACCACGTGGGAATGGACTGTGGGGCAGTGTAGGAGGGTGGAAAGAGGGTAGCTGGGAGTGCTAGCATCTGGAGAAGGCAGCAGGGACAGTGCACAATGTTTTGGAAGCCTGGGCAGGCTCAGGGAAGCATTGGATCAGGTACCTCTGAGTTGGGGAAGCCCCTGGCCTGCTAGCAGGCCTCCTGGGCATCCCTGGGAGGCACCCCTGCCACAGAGGGAAGGACCAGGGCCCTCTGCAGCTCAGAGGCCACTCAGCTCACCATCAGCTCACCCCCTAGCCATAGGAAAGGGGGGCAGGCTCTGCAAAAAATAGATTAAAAAAATGGATCGGACCCCTTGCCACTTCTGCCTTCAGTCCGCCTCTCCCACAGCTGTGGGGTTAGCTGTCAGATTAAAGGCTGCAGAATTACAAGTAGCTACATTGCAAACTAAACTACAAGGGAATGTGTTTAGTTTGCAACATAACAAACTTATTTAAATTGCAAAAAACTGAACATGTATAGCTGACAATTAAACCACAAAAACAGGCAATTTTTGTCATGTGTACAAGCACCCACAGATTGTAAAGAGAAAGTCATGCTGTACTTAAACCCAGAATGGAGTCTTTTTGGAAGGCCCATACTTTTCTAGTTCTGCAAACTTGTTTATTCATTATGTAAACCATGAATTAAAACAAACAGTTGCTATCTATTAATATCATTAACACAGAAAGAGGATGACCCTGTTTCCAAAATTCCTGACATGCAGGTCATTAGAGACGTCTGTGTTGTACCTCTGACAGGTAAGCCTTTGAATATACATGCATTTACTAACTTGGTGGTGACAACAGATAATATTGGTAAATGTTGATGATGCCGAAAAAAAAGTAAGATTGAATAAAGTGTACTTGGTAGACCCTGTATATGAAATAGTACCACTGTAATGAAATAGGAGTAGATACAGTAATGCTGCTATCAGTGTCAAAGAAACCTGTACAGATCCATCCAGGGTAATTTATTTTATCCACTAAAGAACAAAAAACATGACATAATATAATATTCATTGTTATGGGGTGAAGTCTGGCTTTGATAGAAGCTCTGAAGGCATAGTTGCATTGCCTCAAGAGCAAACCAAACAGCATAGGCAACTGGTAGGGGGTGCATGGGGTTGCACATGCCCCCCCGAGGGCTGACATGGGGGTGCACATACCCCCCCAATGGCTAACACCGACGCTGTTGGCAGGGTTGGTGCCCACCCTGACAGGGCCACCACCATCGGTGGCTTCTGCGGGTGCCCCAACCCAGATCCAGGAGGCACCAGTCACTCATGCCAAACAGCACACTAGGATTCAGAGAATAAATAAATTTGAGTAAGCAATGGCCAGGAGTGGACCGAGAAGCTAAGAGTATGGTCTGGTCAGAAGAAATATGCAGTCATTACTTGTCTTACATGTCTAATGTGACTTGTACATCTGTAACAGCATTCAGATTTTGATCTCATTTGCAACATCACTGCATTATGAAATGTAATATACAAGTATTATATGATTAATATGATTAATGTAACATGATTTTTTCCCCAAAAGAAAAATATTTCAACCCAAATGAAATGGAGATGCCCTTAAAAATTATGTTGGCTACTTGGGAGGACAACTGTCACAAGAGCATTCATAACAAGGATAATTTGGTGAATCTGGATTCTTGACTAGACTGAGGATACTGAGGGAGAGCAATCCTCTTTTCTGCCCAGCAGCAGCCATCTTTTCAAGTCTGGACAATCATCTCATCAGATACTCTGGCAGAACCTGATCAGGGCTGTACAGAGTGGTTTGCATCCAGCAATTTGATAGTTCTCAAAAGTTTCCACTACTCATATTATGTAATTCCTAAGAGGTCCAGAAAGCACAGATGCCAGAGACAGCTTCAATTTTTATTTTACTACTGATGATTTTAAGATTAGATCTCTTCAGTAAAGTCTCACCATCTACAGGTGTGACCCTATTAGGCCACAGTAAGCTCATAAATGCCACTGTAGGATAATACTTGTAAACACAAGACCTATCCTATGGGGTATTATTTAGTGCTCTGCAGTGCACATGTAGGTGCTGATGGGGCTGGCTGGGGCATGAGGATGCTTCAGTGCAGGGCCTGCCTGTTGACTAGCCCCACACTGAAGTACCCTCATGGGCCAGCTAGCCCTTCTGCAGCATGTTGAACCAGGTCAGAGCAGCCCCAGACTGGTAGGCTGACTCCCTGGGCCCCCTGTCAGCCAGGACTGCTGTGACTTGGCTCAACATGCTGCAATCCCAGGCACACATGTCAACGCGGTGCCTGGGAGCAATAAACTCTGGCACAAAGTGTGCTAGAGTTTCTTCAGTCAAATGAATTGCACATATAGATGCACCCAGGACATGGTATTTGGAGGTCCAAATCAAGCTAGGTTTGGGGATTAGAGGTCAAGGTTCAATCAAGGATAGGATTTGTAGCATTGCAATATGTGATTGTGGCCAAAAGATCAAGACCTCAGAAAATCAGCTATTCATTCAAGACCAGTGGATAATTTCATTATCTGTCTGACACGTGGGCATACTGAACCATGAGAGACCACAAATAAATTATTCTTGGAGGTAACAGCTCCTAAAGGCTGTGCAGAGCTTTGAGGAATGTATAATATGGCAATACTATACTGTATTGTTTATAGGCAAACTACATTCTTGTATAGACTTATAAAATTATTTACTGGAGTGAAGATATATATTTCTTGGACATCAATAAGCAAGGAGTTCTACTTATATAACTTTTCAAAAGGATTACAAACAGTGAGCTAGTAAAAGGAAATAGATGAAGTGTAAATACTAAAATATAATCTATGCATAAAATATCCTTCTTTTTCTTCCTGTCTAAAACAAAGGGGAAGGCCTACATTGTCCAACTAAAGCTGTTTATTTTTAGTTGTTTTTTAGAATATGTTTTTATTTCTGTTTCCAGGCACCATTCAACATGAGAGATTTTTGGGTAGACATCTTGAACTAGCTTTTGAGCAGCATAGGCTTTCATAGGTGACAGCCTACCTCATTATATGCTATGAATCTTCGTAGAATATAATTCATAGCTCTGAATCTGAACCCTTGGGAAACTGCCAAGAAAAAACAAAGCACCTTGAATTTTCAAGGAAGATAAGCATAGGTAATTGCTTATTTGAACAATCAAGTGGAAGAGAAATAAGCAAATAATTGTATTTTTAGTATGCTAGTCAAACTTGCTGACCAGTCAACAAACCAAAATCCATTTGATATTGATTTTGGATTTTTGTGGCAAATTTCCCCACAAAAAATTGTTTTGGGTAGAACAAATGTTTCATAATTAATAAAAAAGATTTATTTTGTTCAAACTTAAGGTTTTTTTCTTCCTTGGTTTTTAAAAAAAGTGTTTAAGTTAATTTCAGTATGAAACATTAGTTCAAAATTAAAATGAAAAATTGAATCCTGGGTTCTAGCTTAGTTCCCTGCTCCCAGTGGGACAAGAACTCTGCCACTGTTCTTCATGCATCATGTTAGTGGGCATCAGACATAAAAAATGCCTTCAATGCTATAAAGCCCAGTGATAATTTGTCACGTTAGCTCTTTCTCCAGTTCAGCAGCTGTATACTTCACTGTTAAAACTTTGATTTCCTTGCTGAATCAGGGTCCTGGAAATATGCACACACTCTGAAGAGCAGTGGCCTTGAGATACAATATGTCATAATGAAACTTCACGAAGCATCTGCTGGGAAGAGCAGGTCTGAACGCTCACGTTGGTTCTTAGACAGAGCGCAGGACCTCCATCTAATGCAGGAGGCGCACAGCCCCACCAGGGGAGATGCCTTGTTGGACC